CATTAGCTCAATACGGCATGAAGGTTTTAACTCATGTGGGGTTGTGCTTCCAATTGTCACATAATAATACCTTTTGCCTTCAGATTCAGGCCGATAAGGTGTGAAGAAAGAGCTGCCGTTAATGCAGGCAGGAGCTTCCACATAAAGCGGAGCATTTACAAGATTTTCACAACTTATGAAAAGAATGCTTTCCGGATAATTATAATAAGAATAATAATAATGATGATGATGATAATAATAATAATAATTATTATAATAATAATAATGATTATTATAATAATAATATTTGAAAGCCTTTGAGAAGCTATAGTCCCAGGAATACTGAGGTATGGAGCAGCTCCCTTCCTCAACACCAGCAGCAGCTACTCGAATTGTTTGACTGACATAATTGATTGCTTTCACGTAGAATTTTCCTGATTGATCAGAGTGCAATACTGTAAGGTTGTTCTCACAGGATAGAGAATATATTGGATCTGCAGTCTCTCCACAGTGAGACGGATCTGTGTTTAATCTGAAAGGGTAGCTAATATTCAAATTGTTCCCACAAGAAGAAGGTGGACAGTTTTGTTTATCTTTGGCACTGCAAGTCTCATGAATTAAGGCGAGAAGAAGAAGAGCGACGAAGATGAGGCCTGGTCTAGGCATGGAGAGGGGCAAAAGGTGTGGATAACTTTCAGGTCTTTGAACAGAGTCTTGTGGTTTGCAGGAGAATTACAATAACTTTTTGGTCTTAAAACAACCACAAACGCACTCCACCTCCACAATTTTTTTTTTTTAATTTTTTAATCTACGTAATTATGGGGGAAAGGATTACAGGTGTGGGGTACCAATCCCATGTCGTTGGCCTCCACCTTCAAACATTTGATCACCAGATTTTAGATTATTATTATTTTTTTTTTTGAATGCGGGAAAACATCATCAATTAAATTGAGACAGTTGTAGCTGGTCCCAGGTAACGAGTTTTCTTGATGGTTTCCCTTTTAGATGATGCTTAATTACCTTGCACCTAGACCCTCACTTTCTTGGTCATTTGCAGAGCATTGACTATAACAATCAACTTTAGAATTTTGGGTACAAATGGATACATCACTTGCCCCACCCACATTGCTTGAATTTTCTCTTTAACCTTCAAATAAGATGGGGGCAGGTCTGGTTCTGAGTTCTGATATCGAGAAGCATCTTGATGATGATGGTTTCTTGGGAGTTTTTGGGTATCGGTGTTCGGAAATTTGGAATGGGTCCTGTGGATTGATTTGGGGGGCAGATATTGCTTGGCAGGGGAATTCAAACAGAAAAAAATGAAGAAGCCGAGGAGTTTAGGTTTGGTGGATTTGTTCGGTAATTGGCAGAGTATGATTAGGGTTTTTTTAATATGTGATTTAAAGATATAAGTTAAGAATTTTTTTTATTTTAATTATTATTAAAAAA